CGGCGGCCGGCGGGGATTTCCAGCGCGCGAGAGGAAGTGCTGTGAGAGGGTGCGTGAGGGCGCGAGGGAGCGCGGCGCGGCGCGGCCGCCGCGTGCGCGAGCCGGGGTTGCAGCCCAGCCGGGACTTTCCAGCCGGCGGCGGCGGCGGCGGCGGCGGCCGCCGGCCCTTCCCCGCCCCCCGACATGGGGCTGCCCGGGGAGCAGGACGCTGCGGACCGCGGCGGAGGACGCGCTCGGCGCCCCTGAGCCGGCCGAGCGGGGCGGACCGCGGGGTAAGGGGCCGCGGCGTTGGCGGGCGGCGTTGGCGGGCGGCTCCATCCCCGGCGGCTCCTTCCCGCGCCCTCGGCGGCGGCGGCGGCGACGGCCCGGGGCCGGAGCGGGGCCGGGGCGGCGCGGGCCCGGCGCCCGGCGGCGAGTGCCCGGTGCGGCGCCGCCTCGCCCCCGCCCCCGCCCGGGCCCGCCCGCCCCCCGAGCGCCTTAACTTCGGAAAACTTTGTCCTCGAGGCCGGGCCCGGGGCCCGCGGGCCGGGGTGCCCGCAGCTTTTCAGGAAACGGGGTGCCGAGGCCTCTTGAAAGCGTGAGTCCCGCGGGGTGGGGAGAGCCGGCATCTTCTGCGGGGCGGTGTGTTTTCGCGGTGGGAGGGACGCTCTGGCTCGGGGGTCTGCACCCGCGGACGTGCTCGCCCTGGGCTGGCGGCGGGTGGGATCTTTTAAGCCATTATTTAAAAGTTTATACTGAGTCATTCCTCTGCAGATGAACCTCTGACTGATTCATAATCGGGGAGCTGCAGTGGCCTCGAAGGCAGGCGGGTACTGGGCTCCAGTTTTGGGCAAAATGCACCCCTTCCACCTTTGATTAATAGTAAAGGTCAGGCTGGGCTCCCAGAGGTGCAAAAAATGAAAATGATCCGTGCCACAGTATTTAAAATTTCATCTTGAGGCGCGAGGCTATGGCTCAACGTACGCTTTGCCACGTTTTCACATTGTCACCCCATTTGGGGACATCTATTTAATATTTGGACCTGTAGAGAGGATTCTGTGTGGAACATTCTTTACCCTTAATCTGAAAACATAGCAACAAAATGGAAATGGATGAACTGTCGTGGACGTGCTTTGAAATTTAAGAACCCTTCAGATAATGGGCCGTTGAAGGAAACAGTTTTATTTCACGTTTCTCCTACTAAGCTCTGAATCAGATTTCAGGCGGAGATACGGTGTGTGTGTGTGTGTGTGTGTGTGTGCGCGCGTGTGCGTGCGTGTGCGCGCGCGTGTGTTCATTTATTTTTGTGGAGTCATAAAGGCTGTACCGAGTAGCGTTACCTTACTGCTTCTTAATTTACATTCACAGCATACAACTGAGGAGGAGCCATAATTTGTTTTTTTTTCTGGCATTTGCCGTGAATACACACTGGTGAAGCTTTTGGAAACGTATTCTGTAATCTTCTATATTATCTATAAAATTCTTACTTAAAGAAACGAGCAGGCGGACCATCAGTTGGTGCTAAAAAATCTTCGCGTGTCTTTCCCATCTTTGAAAATGGCCTGTTAAAAAGACTGCATCATGTGTAGGATGTCTGGCAAAATAGTGCCCAGCCATTCTATTTTCAAGTGAAAGGGGATATTTGCCTTTTTACCCTGTTGTGACTGTATAGATATATATTTAGAATTAGTGTAAAGATGAAAAATTCTTCGGCCAAGCAAAATAAGCCTTACTGGTATGGAAACTGGAAAATATATAAGATTGGAAATCCTTGTGAGTAGATGCTCGTGGCAGACACCCTGACAGACCTGGGATTCCAGCATCACTAGTTAAAATCAGCCCCTGTCACGCATGAGGTTTAAGACGTTGAGGTGTCTCAGCCAGACGCCATCTGTTCCAGCTGTCACAGTGCAGAAGCCAGGAAAGCAGAGAGAACTGGCAGGGAGAAGTCCAGCATTTTTTTTTTTTTTTTTTTTTTAAGACATTCATGTGAATTTTTCTGTGAGGGGAAAGAAGACCAATTATTTTCCTTGGAGTCTGTTCATGCATTTTGGAATTAATAAGATGGCCTCACTTAATGAGACGGGTGTAAACACATTCCGCTGGAAACAGGCAATAGTAGTGGTCAGTTGTTTCTCTTAATACCGTCAAAATATTCCTGCTCTTGTTCATGCGTTGAAGAAGGTCCTTCATTTAACTGAAACACCTGGGCTGCTTCTTGGTGTTTTCCCCTGTGTTTGGGATTTTGATTCTGTAAACACCCCGGCTAGAATCCCTTTATTTTTTAACTGTGCAAAGCTGAGAAAGGCCTTTCTGGGGTATTGTCAGGATAGATATGCTAATGAACTGAGGAGGAGAATGATTTATCACTCCCTTAAAGTCCTTCTGTGTGATGTTAAAGCTCTACTTCAAGAAAGATAAAACTGTCACTGTGGTGTTGCAAGTCTGGGCTGGCTCAAGCAAACAAAGGAAATTGCGTTAAATTTGCCCATCTCTATTTTCTCATCTTCGTATAGCAGGACTCTCCAAACAGCAAGTGATCTGAACTATCAAGTATTATGCAATAGCTGAGTTTCCTTGCCATGGTCAGTTTAAGAACTGTTAACTTGGTAGAGGAGACATCTTATGACCAAGGCCCCCTGTGTTGATTCCATAGAGTCAAGACCCCTTGTGTGCTTTTTTACAAGTGCTGGTAGAGGAAGAAATATTATTTTTTTGGTGGGGTGGTGGGGGAGAGTCATAATATTGACTTCACATACTGGCAGAAACTGGGAAGGCAGTTACTGAGGGAGAAAAAAGGAAGTGAAGCCATTGGATCTGGAAGGTGACCAGAGAGAGGCAGTCGAGGCCTAACTGTGGAGGTGATGCTTAGGCTTGTTCTGAGCGGGAGGCGTAGAGCTAGAGGGAGAGGCCAGATTCCTGTGGGCAGGAGGGCAGTGGAGAGGTGAATGGGGGAAGGTGCCACTTGCATCCGAGCTAGAGGCTTTGGGTCCCCAAAGGAGCCAATGGACATAGAAGAAAATGTAATTTTAAACAGAAAGGAAAAATGTAAGAGAACTACGTGTGCCTGAGTAGTATCTATGATTCATAATTAACTAAAAAATACAAAACGGCTTTCTCATTTTGAAGAGGCTTTATTGACTGTGTTCTGCACAACACTATGTTAGAGGAGTGGGGGGTGGGGAACTGACCAACCTAGGAAGGAGGGGTGAGGTTTTTATCATTGAGCAGTAAAATTTCTTGCGGTGAAAATTTTTTGTCTCGTTGTGCAGACACCTTGGGCTGAGGCTGGCAGGTAGTAAGATGTCATAAATGTAGGTGACTGTCGGTTTCTGACAACTCCAAAAATCAGGTGGGAATCTCTTGCTGAATTCTGTGTTCCTCAAGATAAGTGAATCATTAACTGGGAGTTGGGAATCTTTTTCTCATCTAACAATGTTCCATTAATGTGCCTTGAGTTCCCATAATGTTCTTGTTACAGAGCTGGGGTGAGTGCGGTACAGCACCTGCCTTTAAGGCCAAGGTCTGCAGAAGTCCGCCTCTGTGCACCAGGAAGGGAGATGCCTGAAACCATGGGTATTGGACCAAGACAGCACCAGGACTGAAGCTTGTGGCAGGAAGAGTGAGGAAAAGTGGAAATTTACCACCCTGCCCTCAAGGAACTGGTGCTCAGCTGGAGAGGGAAGCCTCACCAGGAAGAAACTCAGTAGTCATAAAATGTAGGCTAAAGTGAGTTAGTGGATTGTGTGGAAGCCTGGAATCATGGTGGGAATTCAGGAAAGGGGAAGCTCTTGGCTGGCTGGGGGTAGTCAGGGAAGGCGTCTGGGAAGCGGGTGTTGAGTCCCAGCATTAGGGAGGCCATTGGGCCTCTTGCAGGACCCTGTGAATGGCAGGAAGAGGATTTCTTTCCACTGCCCATGTTTTGGTAAGATGAGATCTGACAGTTTGCTCTCCTGTCACTTCTTGCCAGTTAGGCCCAGTGCTGGTGATGCTGCTGGTCAGTGGATTTCCAGTTGCGATGTTTCCTGTGCTGTCCTTTAGCTCTTAACCAGGAGCTCAAGTGGGTCAGGCAGTGTGCCGCTGCGAAGGGCCCGGCCTGCACTCGGCCGTTGTAGGTCGAGTCTCAAAAGGGGGCGGGGAGGGGGAGGGGTGTGTTAATAAAAAGCACCTGTTCCTCAGGAACTTGCCCCCCACCCCCGTCAACCTACTGCCCTGTCATCTGCGCTGAAGTGACCTAAATCTCTTTAATTCCCAAGAAATAAAAAAATCGGGTCCTATAATTTCATTTCATGATGTACGTTTTTCTAGAGAGCTTGTTCTGTGCTGATTTTAACTATGTTATTTTTTGAATGGAGGTGATTGGGTAACTTTTTACGAGGTCATTCTGCCAAGAAAGATACCAGACCGCTGTTCTGATACTCTGATTTCCTTTCCAATTTAAACACTGACTCTATGGCAAAACCCAAAAGCCTGTTTATTGGAAATTTGGTCCCTTAAGTGGAGTGAAAAGCTAAATTGATTAACCAAGTAGGATAATAAAATCTTTAGGACAATGGTAGTATCAGAGTGGTAAAACCTGAGTCTCCAGGAGTCATGATAATTATAGTGAAGGTTTTCAGAGACTGGCTTTGTACTGTGGAAGGTTAATGCCCAGTAGGAGGCCTGCATACACTGGAGGTGATGAGGGACCCATTAGGCCTCTCCTGTCAGTGTTTGTGTCCAGAACTGCAAGTTTGGGAGAGAGAAGAAACGCGCCAGATGCCCACACAGTAATTCCGTGTGGTTTGGCTGATAACGTCTGCAGTCTGGTGTGCCTCATAGCTGCCTGTCAGGCTTAGCTCCCTGGTTTGTTGCGTTAAGAGGCTTGTATAATGGGAGACTTCATTTGACATTGTAACTTCCCTGGGTGCTTTTAATGACTTAGAAAGGAAGAACAGGAAAACTACTTGTCTTTCCCTGCTCAGTAATGCCCTGAAGTCACAGCTTTATTCTAGAAATTAACTTCTATCCTTTTTGGATTAATACAGCCTGATGTTTTGAGATGTTATTATAGGGCAAATTAAATGTTCCGATTTCGGATGGCTTTTGTGTGTGAGAAAGGGCATGGCATGGCTTTAGTATGTCTCAAGCCCTTAATGGGAGTCTAGGCCTGTTAAGTTTTAGCTTTAATTTTTTCTTAAAATTTATTTTTTATTTTTTAAGTAATCTTTGCACCCAACATGGGGCTTGAACTCACGACCCTGAGATCAAGAGTCTCATGTTCTATGATTGAGCCAGCCGGGCGTCCTTTCTT